TTTGGAAAAACTACCCCTTGCTATTATTGTTGCTTGTACATAAGGATGGCAATTTGAACCCGACCTGACGGGGACCCGACCCCCCGACCCTAATTTAAGCTATTTTTTCCCAAAAAATACCTCTGACGGGACGGGGATGGTATTAAAAAATCAATCCCCGATCACTTTTAGGCCAGGGACGGGGATCAGTGCCCAAGCCCCATCCCCGGCCTGGCCCCGTCTCGGTTTGTCCCTGAAATAAAATTACCATTTTACCCCTATATATATATAAAACTAAACCCTAAAACATTACACAATCACACACACAGACCACCGCTTCTCTCCATCTTCTCTCTCGGTTTCTCTTTTCCCTCTCTTTCAGTAGATCGAGCAGCAGCGGTAACGAATGGACGGTGTCACAGTCTCCGATCGTGTACAGGGGGAAGCAGTCGGCGTCGGAGGCGGCGTACATGACGAAGCGCCTCCTCAAGAGCACCGTTGTCGGCCGGTGTCGCAGTTGTTGATCGCTGATCGTCCACACACTCTCTCTCTCTCTCTGTGACATAGATCTGTATGTGTGTGTATCTGTCCATTTTTTTTTTGCTAGTAGATCTGTTGATGATGCCGATCATCCACTCTCTCTCTCTCTCTGTGTGACACAGATCTTAGACCTGTTTGTGTATGTATCTATACATGTATGTCTGTGTGTATCTGTCCATTTTTTTTTTGCTAGTAGATCTGTTGATGATGCCGATCATCCACTCTCTCTCTCTCTCTGTGTGACACAGATCTTAGACCTGTTTGTGTATGTATCTATACATGTATGTCTGTGTGTATCTGTCCATTTTTTTTTTCTTTTGGGTTTATGATCTGTTGATGATTGTGTTGATATGTTGATGTTGATGATTCTGTTGGTGATGTTGATGATGATGATGATGTTGTTGTTGGTGGTGTCAAAATAGAAAATCATCTTTTGCATCAATTTTGGCTGGAGATTGCGCACAATCATCCTAATCTGGTCCTTGTCAGTAGGTCTCAGGGTCATCATTGAAGCCTTGGCCCTCCAGCGGGCCACGAAATCAGAAAAACTCTCCTTAGGCTCTTGCCTTGTTGTCTCAAGATCACGAGTTGTGACCTCGATTTGCGTGTTATAGGAGTACTGCGCGACGAAGTCGTTCATTTTGTAAAGCCCTCAATGTATAATATCTATGAAAAAAATTAGTTCGATCCAATAATCGTAACTTTTTCATTTCATTGCATTTGTCTTCGAAAAAAATAGATGACAAATATATTTTTGAAATGGACCATTCATATTTTTTTAGACAAATGCTATGAAATGAAAAAGTTATGATTATCGAATTAATTTAAATTTTTTCATGAATTTTATACATTAAGAGATTTACAAGATAAGCAGCTTAGATTATCGAAATGAAACTTATAATAGGTTCTATAGACTCCTCAAGTTCTCTCGTGGAGTTCTCGTAACATGATGACATTGACTTTTTTTTGGGAAAAACTATCCCTTGCTATTATTATTGCTTGTACATGGAAGCAGCACAGCTCATACACAACCATTCCCAACTAGATAATCGTAGAGTATTTGAAAAAGAAGAGAAGGGCATATAATATCTTCCCACATGCTTTGTGCTTCATATTAAAAAATTTAGTGTCATTACTTGCCCTGGATCTATGCAAAATTAATTATATTCGACAACCAAAGAGTGATTTATATATTTCATAGGATCTACTAAAATATACACGTGTTTTAGGAATTTAAAGTTTTTTTTTGGACAAATTATATAGATAGTCCTCATAATTTAGACGATATGTCAATTTGGTCTCTATTATTTTAATGGGCAAATTACCAATATCTCCCTCGAGGTTTGACTAAAATACGAATTCCCTTTTGAGGTTTGGGAAATTACAAATTGCCCCCTGAGATTATATTTGTATAACAAATGAGGGAGCAATTTATTATGCAAATATAAACCTCAGGGGTTAAAATCGAGTAAATTAAAATAATAAAGGCCAAATTGACACATTGTGTAAATTATAAGGACTAAATTGACACATCGTTTGAGCACATGATGATTTTCCGTCCACCAAACTTAATGACCGTTATTTATTGAACAAATATGACACAATCTGTTAAATTAAGGGGCAAAATCAGGCAAATTAAAACAATAGGAACCAAATTGACATCGTGTAAGCTACAGGGACCATTTACATAATTTATCTAAGTTTTTTTATTTTATTTTTAAGAATGAAATTTTTTTTACAAAAAATATTAAGAGATCAATTCCTATTAATAGTTGTCACTTAAAAATTTTTGAAAAAAAAAAAAAAAAAAAAAAACTTCAGTGATAAAATTTTAAGAATGTCATCAATAAATATATTTTGAGGACAAACAATTTCATACCAAAAGACAACAATTGTAGTGACTTTTCCGGCCCCAACCAATTTTTCATTGACAGTAATTTTTTTTGTAGTTGGTAACTTTTGCTGCGAATTCCTTTAAAATTAATTTGTTATTCTCCCTAATGTATTTCATTAACCATGTTCGTATAATCAAAACAAATTAATCATTCAACCTAATGTCATACATCCATAAAAGTGGACTTATCATCAATTCTTTTCAGAAATATTATATATAAGTAGCACACAAACAAAAACTCAAAAAATAAACAAACAAACAAAAAGATTTTATCACAATATTATTGGTACATGATTATTAAAATTTTGTCACAATACAAGATTTCGAATGAGTATCTCTTTTATATGGAATGTGAGGTCCACTCACATAATAGAACTTTGTGTGCATTGTAACCAGTTATTCAAAGATAGCTAAGCTTTAGTAATGAATAACTATAACATGGAACTCAAGCACAGCATTATTCGAGGTTGTATTGAAGGAATAAGTACTCGCGGTAGCGATTCCTCGTGCGAGTCGGAAAAAACCGGTACCACCGACAATCGACATCTTACGATACTGATCAAATACTGGGTCGCGGCCTAGAAGAGCCAGAGTGCTGCCGTTATATTTTTCATCAGTGAAAACCAAGTTCATGGTTATAAAATTACTTGCTTCCTCCAACGAAGACGCCCCATACATCCCCTGAGCCCGGCCCAGCTGTTTTGAAGTGATGTTAGGTCCGAGTGCCAATTTCTTGAGGAAAAAACAAAGGATTAACTGTCAATAGGTCCTAATAGTTGGATTTAATTCGCAGGAAATTCTATTAAAAATAAGCCTTCATAAAATTGTCATTAAAAATAATTTTTTTTTGACAATTTTTATATATGTCACTAAAAATTGACAATTAGCGACTTTTTTTTGTCATAATTTTTATAAATTGTTGCTAAAACTTACAATTAGTGACTTTTTTTATGACAAATTTTTTTTATAAGACCTATTAGACAATAAACCCACTTATTAAGATTTACACGTAGGTACCCAAAAACAAACAAACTAATTAATCATAAGAAAATGAAATAGAAGAGAAGGCCATATAATATATTCCCACTTGCTAACAGTACCAGCCTTAGGTTTATTCAAAATTAATTCGATTGTCAAAGCCTGATTTTTGTTGGTTTGAATAAATTATTTCGAGCAAGTGGATGGGACTTCATCAAGAAAGTCAAATGTCTTCGCTATAAGGTTGTTTTGATCGTAGATTTGTTTATATTGTATTTGGTTGGGAGATTTTAGAAGAGATTTGAAAAAAGAAAAGAAAAATGTGTGTCAAATTAAATGAAATGGAAATGTAAGTATGTTTTATTCACATTTCACTATCTTTTTCATTTTCCTTTTCAAATTTCTCTTCAAATCCCCCAACCAAACACAGTATTAGGGATTTAAGAAGAAATGAGAAATTGAAAAGTAATTTGTAAATGAAACAAAATGTGATTTTTTTTTTTTAATTTTTGAAATCCTTTTCCTTTTCATTTTCTTTCTAAATCTCAGATCTAAACGCAACCCAATTAGTTTCACATGTCTTCACATGTCTTTACATTTAGTCAACTGGCTTTGATGCCAATTTCTAAAGAGTAAAAAAAATCATAATTATCTGTTTTCTTTCATTCTCTTAATGCTTTCTATTATTATTATTTGTAGGTGGAGGTGGTGGAAGATTTGCACCAACGATATTAATATTTGTATTATCAAATTATTTGTTTGAGGGTGCTACTAGGTTAATGTATGAGTTACATGTAGTCTTTGGTGTTGCAGTCACTACAAGATATTACACTTTTGGTAATTAAATTTTTGGTCATCAAAAATAAGGTTTTTAGTTGTCGAAACATTTTTCCAACTAAATATTTTGGTCGTTGGATTTGTTGAGGAAAGATTGTCGAGGAAGGTATTGGCGACTAAAATATATTTAGTCGCCAAAAGTCCTATAAATGGCAACCAATGTTTTAGTAGGCAAAAGTAAAAGCTATTGGCGACAAAATAAGCTTTTGTCGCTAATGAGGCAAATTGGCGACTAATCTGTTAGTCGTCCAAAGGCTACTAATTTAATTTAAACTACATTTTCAGCTACTAAAATTTTTTGTCGCAAAAAATTCAAGTATTTAGAGCGACCAAAGTTTTAATTGCCAATAGTTTTTCTTGTGCATCTACATTTTTTTAGCTACTAAATGTTTAGTTGCCAAAAATTCGATTTCTTGTTTGGCTACTACACCGGCTAGTCGGCCAAAATCTAATTTTTTTTAGCTGCCAAAGGTTTTGTCGCTGATAATATAATTGTTATGTTTTGGCAACCAAATATTTAGTCGCTAAAAGTGTTTTTCTTTTTTTCGCTACTAATTATTTAGTCACTAAAATTATTTAACTCCATTTTTGGCTACCAATTGTTTTGTCACCAAAAATATCATTTTATTTTATTTTTTAATTTTAATTAATTTTTCCATAACCTATATGTATCCACCGCAATCTGTAATAGATATACAAACAAAACAATATGAGTATATTTTCACCCATTTCATAACACATATTTCACTTACAACCATCAAACAAAAAAGAATACCTTTTAATATAAACTTATATACAAACCAACTATATATATTCCAATTAGAAATAATGTCATACACAACAAATAAGCATACCAAAACAATGTCCTCCGTACACAAAAAATATTTTTAATACTATATATTGTAATGACCATTTGGCATGGTACAAATTACCATGGTAGTATGTACTACGACAAAAGATAATCTATATATCATGGTAATAAATACAAGTTCCATGTCAAAAGTATTATGTATCCCGCCAAAAATTATATGTACGATTCATCCAAATTCCGCACAAAAGGCAGAGGACGAAAAAAAACTTCCCAACTGTTCAAAAGTGTAAATTATCCTCCGTACAAAAAATGAAAGATCCACATGTCAATGCCAAAAGCCATCTACAAAACAAAAATTACACCCATTAGTTCCACATAGCATTTTAACATAAGACCATGCAAAAAAGAATTGAAAGTGAATTAATACATTACACGATTAAAAAATTAGACTACACTTTGTGACTCTTGTCATCCTTTGTACCTAAATTCTTCCATTTCCTAAATTCTTCCACATCCCAAAAATAACATTTTGGAGAGGAAGCTTTTATCTTACTTTGTACGCAAGGATTTCAGAATTGGTTAAGTTAGGGGGTTAGCAATCCAATGCTAGAGCCAAAGTGATCTACTCCTACTACCATACTGCAACAAAAACTTGTTAACAAAGATAAAATTCTTACATGGTTCTGTTGGTTTTTCCTCTCTTCACTTGAGAAACCAGGAATGGTCAAATGCGAGTTTTTCTCTGCAAATGATTTCATTCAATTAGATCAAGGTTAACTGTCTAAATGTAAACAAAAATAGGAAAAAAGATATTTCACGCCATTGAATGTGGTGCATATCATCGTTATGCCCAATAGGTAATGCAGCTACACACCCTGGCATTGTAAATCAACAAAAGAAAACTACAACCATGGAAGAAAAAAAAGGAAAAAAAAAGAAGAAAAATAAAGAAAAAGGGTACCTGGTGGAGTCCCGCAGCACATATTGCGGTCACCAATGTGCTCTACTTCAAGACCAATAAACCATGAACCAAGTGACATGTCTTCATTAGCTTCACTGATAACCATCGCATCCATACTGCACAAAGAGAATCGGGTAATTATATGACAAAATAGATCATGCAAGTAGAAGAAAAGCATGCTCTCATTATAGTTAATATGTTTCTCATCAAATCATCAAATACATTTATATCACTTCCGGTGCTGCAAGTATCTAGAGACAAGCAGGGGAGGCAGTTTAAAAGTTACAATTTCACAACAATTACAAGATTTTTTTAAATTAAGACCCATGTCACTTTGGTCCTCAAAATCTCAATTTTGGCAAACAAAAATACGAAAAAGAACCACCAAATCTTTACCCATAAATTTTCAGGGAATAAAAGCTGGTTAAGTATTAAAACGGGCAGCCTGATTATCACATTTCAATCAGGACATGCACCATAATTCACATTGGTCTGACATGCCACTAAATATTTAATAAAATCTTAGAATAGATATTTCCCCAAAAAATCACTTTTATCAACACCCATTAAATGTGATTGTACAAATGAGAATCTGCAAAATTGTGCTGAGGCAGGAACAATACTAATTGGAGTTCATTTTTTACAATGAAACATGCTGTGTTACTCTTCTTTTTTAATTGAAAATTCCCTGAAATTCTTATTATTACAATTTAAAATGAAGCAGTTCCATAAACCATGATAACAATGATATCGAAAGAAGCATATACATATGAATGAGTCACTTACACTTTGGCTCGGGAAAAAAAAGCCAGTAGGAATTTGCAATTTCCTTCCTCCCGAATGTGGAGGAACTGTTGCACAGTATCAAAAAGCAATGGGATGCTAGACTGTTGAAAGCTTACAAGTTGTCAAGAATTTCTTTTCTCACTTTTCTTCTCAGGTTTTAATATTTTCAAAATAAGAAAGCAAAAGTTCCAACATATATGAGCTACTAGCATCTAACATTTGGACCCAGTACCAGCACTTCAAAACAAATGTTTGAAGTTTCAATAATACCAAATATTGCACTTACTTAAGATCAAACACATGCTAGGAATGCAAATGGCATGGTCACAAAATGATCCAATTTAATTTTCTCAAAAGATATAAACACAATCTAGTCTTGTAGCTGAAGTCATTTCCATAAACCACATAAATAACAACTGGCATCATTGATTACAAATAGTAGTAATAGTAGTAAGCCCTAGCAGCAGCAGCAGCAGCAGTGGCACTAACAGTAGTACTATAAGAAAAGCTTTATTCTTAAGGTTGTTTTATTGTTTTCAATTTCAAACACAATTAAAAATGTTTCAATAACCTTGAATATAAATAATTATTAATAACACTAATAGTTGAATCTACATGATTAAATACCATAGTCATATGTATACATGTGTGCTTTCATGTGTATTTAGATGTATGTAATGTATGTTCATAGGCTTGTATGCATATCACTTGAAACCTGAAGGATGAAATATGAAAATTAGGATATAAATATCAGCACCAAGAACCAGATCAAATCCACCTGGATGCCTTTTCAAAATTTGGTCAAGCTGATCAGAATTTCCCCATTCTAGCTTCTCCACCATTAGACCTGCACGAAAAAGGTCAAAAACAGGATATCAACTTATCCAAACATAAATGTATAATTTTCAGCATGGTTACTTACCAGCAGAACCATTAGAATTGTCAGTAGACGAGTGGAGATCTATATTTTTATTCAGGATCTGAAAATGGACAAATTATGTAATTAATAAATAAAAAAAAAAAAAGTAACAATATGAGAAGATTAGATACAGAACTCATCCAATTTTTTTTTAAAAAAATGAAATTTAATTTGGTGACCTTGCCTTGAGGACTTCGTCATTATGGTCTGTTAATATGTCTTCACAGCAAAATCTGCTGCAGAGAATTCCAGTAACACCTGCACTTTGGGGCGCAGCATTTAGTCTATATCATTTTTTCTTTTTCTTTTTTTGATAAATCATTTAGTCTTTATCATTAAGGTCTTAAATGAAAAAATTCTATAAAAATATATCAAATTATGCATGCACTGCTACATCAAAGGGAATAACGTGGGCTAACCATAATAAATGACTTGTGAAGAAACAAAGGGAGACAAAAATTCCCATAATATGAAAAAACTAAAAACTACAAGTCTAATAACAAGTCATAGCAGTGCACTTTTTGCCCTCTATGCCTTTAAATTAGGAAATAATATAGACCAATGGACCATAATAAAGACATTCCACAAAAACTTTTTCTAAGTCCACAAACTCTTAAGCACCTACACATCTTGTAAAGAAGCTAATATTATCCAAGAATACTAAAAGCATCAAAGAATGAATGGAACCTTAGAATTGAAAGGTGGTCAACTACTCCACACTCCCAAGACATATGGAGCATCGACTATGAAAACCAGCCTTCTGTAATTTCATCATTTTACTGATCCAGAATAAGATACTATCTTATGGAGCTGTCCATATGATCACACAGAAACTTCAAGGGAACAAAGAAGCCCAAAACTCCTCGACAGAGGAAGAAACAATTCACCATTGAATAGAGGACAGTGATTGAAGAATAATTTTCTGAGAAATGCCTTCACTTTCTGGGTCTCTATAAATCCTCAACTTCAAAACTTTTTCTTTTTTGGACAGAGAACCGTCATATCATCCAACTACATAATCTAGGGCAGGAGTTTTATTCGATAGTGTTGAATACCTCGCTTTTGTTGTCTAGTTTGACAACTCACTTTCAGAACTCTAGTGTTGCAGTATTCTAGAAAATGCTTCTAAATTGTTTTGCATGATCTATCAATTGATCTAGAGGATTTTTTTCTTTTTCTTTTCAGATTGCTTTCTTAACATAAAAATTAACATTCATGGAAATAACAGAGTTTTGGCTCTATCAAACTGCATGGAAGCAGATATCTATTGGATTATAGATATATAAAATTTGAACAGTAGAAGAAACATGTAAACTCGTGTCAGAATCACTTACCAACACCAGAGCCTAATTCTATCACAGAACATCTGCTGAGCATCTCAGGATTTTTTGAAAGGTAATTATTCAAAAGAGTTGCACCAGGCCACACCAACTGCCCCGTCAAATCAAAATCAGCTGTCACAAAATAATTTGATCAAAACATAATTGCTAGATCATATGGAAAGACGGCACATAGCGTTAGGCAAACATGTACTCAATACTATTGAAACAATCTTCTGTGTAAAATAAATAAGTTGAAACCAAATCAAACAAATAAAATAAATTACTTACAGAATTTATTTACCGAACCGAATAAATAATTAAAAAGATCAAGTCGAGTGTGTGACACTCAGTCTTTAAGACAGATTCGCCCCACTCCGGTGCTTACGGATAAATAGCGTCTATCTCCCAAGATACAATGATCTTTACACAAATTGTAGTAGCACTCCAAACAATTTGTATGGCGAACTAGAACCTGTGCTTTATACTCCCTGAATTTTTTTTCTAAAAACTAATATGAAGAACAATGCAAAAGAGAGCAAAAACGGGAAGAGCAAATGAATTTTTCTCGATTTCAGGATGTCCCAAAACTGTTGGAATTATTCTGAATTTTTAGGCAATCTAGAACCTGTTGGACAGATCCGAACAGGTGCAAATAGAAGTCAACAGGTGCAGAATTCAAATGAACAGATTTGAATTCAAACAGAACAGGTGCAACACTGTTTTGAACAGATAACTGCTGGGCAATTTTAATCTGTTGGAAACTGCTGGCAGTTTTAAACCTGTCTGGGAAGAAGTGAACCTGTCCAGTGCAAAACAGGTTGAAAACTGTTTGGACTGGTTTTGGAAAAAGACCCTGATTGGGAGCAAAAAATTTGAATTCAAATTGGAGCATAATTCAAATTTTTCTTGCAAAAAATTTTGGAAAAATTCAAATAAATTTTGTCAAAAAAATTATAGTTAGGACCAACCTGACCCACAACCCACACCCGTGCCCTACTCGGCTCGGCCAGTCGGGGACAGCGACGCACGTGCGTGTGGTGATTTGAGCCAAAATTCAATTTGTCCATAACTCCTCCTTTCTACAAACTTTGGGTGCTCCTTGGGGCACAACCCAAGTGTTGTCACCTAGAATGGGACAAGCCTTACAAGGAAACACACATTTTATTCTTTAATTGTCCAATTCCACGAACCCGAAAACGATGTCAACTTCCCATTCACTCATAAATAGTTTTGACGAACCGTCTTCACCGTGTGACTTGCCATTCGGCAAGGAACACGTCACCTCTTTGAACCCACCCCAAAAGACGTGTGGGACCCATTCAAATTTGGGCTCAAAGTTGGCCCAAAATAAGCCTATAAAACCATAATTCCAACAATCTCTCACATGAATGGAATTTGACAAAAAGAAAATGCAACATGATCTAATTACAAAGAGTACAGAAATTGAAAATATTCTGCAAAGGATAGGTAGCTTTTGGCCTTGAACCTTTCCTTGTGAGACACTATCGGATTTACTATCTAACCAGTGAACATGATGTCTTGAACTGTTCAGCCATTGTGTAAACCAGGACAATAGAACTCACACAATATATTACCAGACACAATTTAGTTCTCACAATTGTGTTCATTTTGGCCCTGAACAACCTGGTCTTTCATGAGTGCTCTAGAGAATTGTAGCCCTTCACAAATCTCATAAAACCAACCCAGTTCACACTCATATAGGTGATTCTTATGAACAGTATCCTGCCATACTCCACTAGGTATTCCTAGATATAAAAATCATTAAAAGTTTTACATAACCTAAAACGCTATAGGCATCACTATTTCATCATAGAAATGGGTAGGAGTTTAACTCCCCAGTGATCCTTATGAGACATACACAACTCGGTTGTCCCTTTAAACCTAGATCTTGGGATTCCAGTTAACTAGGTTGGGTTGCCGTTGTGATAACTCTTATTTAATAAGCTTAAGTCCCATTACCCTCGATGAATTCTCAATTAACTCTCTTGCTAACCCTTTGGTTAGTGGATCCGTTATGTTGTCTTTAGACTTTACATATTCAATGGAAATAATTCCATTAGAGAGTAGTTGTCCACGGTGTTATGTTGATGACAAATGTGTCATGACTTACGGTTATACATATGACTCTGTGCTCTACCTATTGCTGATTGACTATCGCAATGTATGCATATAGCAGGCACCAATTTTGGCCACATTAGAATATCTTCAAGGAAGTGACGAAGCCATTCTGCTTCTTTCCCAGCTTTATCTAAAGCTATAAATTTTGATTTCATAGTAGACCTAGCAATGCAAGTCTGTTTGGAAGATTTCCAAGATACAGCCGCCCCACCAAGAATAAAGACATACCCACTGGTAGATTTTGAGTCTCTAATATCCGATCTCCAGTTTACATCACAGTATCCTTCAAGCACTACTGGATATCTAGTATAATTCAACCCAATATTACGAGTAAATCTGAGGTATCTTAGAACCCTTATAATTGCTTTCCAGTGTTCTACTCCTGGATTACTCGTATATCTACTTAATTTACTTACTGCATAAGCTATATCTGGGCGAGTGCAGTTTATCAAGTACATTAAGCTTCCAATAATTTGGGCATACTCTAATTAAGAAATACTTTCTTGTACATTCTTAGAAGAAACAAATTAACATCCACAGGTGTTCTAGCAAGATGATCATCATCTTTGCTGAATTTGTCAAATATTTTCTCAATGTAATGAGATTGTGACAAAACATAACCTTCTGATGTTTTGGTAATTTTCATACCAAGGGTTGGTTTGGGGTGTCCTAAAAAAGTGCACTTTTTGTCTTTTTACGAAAAGATGTGCAGAAAAGTAGAGAGGTGATGTGATGGAAAAAAGATAAAAAGATGGATTATACAGTAGATGCCAAACAAGGCTCAAGTATTACATTAGCAATCCCCATGTCCTTCATGTCAAAATATTTATTCAACATTTTATTGATAATTTTAGCCATGTCATTATTACTACCTATGATGAGCATATCATACCCGAAAAGGTACTTTGAGAAAGTGAACAGGTGCGAATTGAATTTGAACAGATGCAATCTGTTACAAACACATTCTGCCGTTGCACATGGAATAGTTTTCTTTCCAAACAATTTGAAAAGTAGCCGTTGCACATGGAACAGTTTGAACTTTATTATTTAAACTATTAGGAATATATATATATATTAAACTATTTGAATATATATATATATATATTTATATTAAACT